GTCCGTGCGGCTCTATAATGCACCACTTTCATCCCAACTGACGCCCTTCCTCCTGCATGCCGGAAAGGATCAAAGCACGACCAATATGAACCCAATTGTTAGGCTACAGCGTAGAACTTCAGCAGCTCTAGAGTCGAATTACGCAGTCAGTTAAGCAAAAAAAAAAAACAGGTTTGATGTGTCTGCAAAGGGTTCTTTAAGCATAAAATCACGAAGAAAGCGCAAAAATTGTTGGTGTAATGAAACAAGCTTTCCATCACACCTGATTTATCGGTAACCAATAGATTATGGCTGGAATTTGCAGTGGTCACAAAGTTATGAGTGCACTCACGTGAAGCATTTTGCTTTGCAGGAACCCTCAAATAAAAATTACAGCTAACTGGCAAATGCTCATTTCGCGCTTTGTAGTTCGCCACAAACACGTTTAAATAACGTGGCTCACTGCAGATTCAACCAGAATTAGCGTTTTTCAGACAGAAAAGTATCCAGGGCAAGAAGTTACGAGAAAATGTAACCTTGTTTAGCGAATCGTTCACTGTTCTGTACATCTTCCGGACTGTAATTCTCGGCTCCTTTGAAATAAACTCTCAAATCGGGATAATTTCCGAACATGCTATAAAAAATTCGAGATTTTGACAGTAGTTAGAGACGAAACATTTTTTCCTGTATGAATATCAAAAGAAAAAAATTCTTCTATGTGCGGCCACTCAATTAGTACGCAGTTTTTTAGGCTCCGAAACACTCCATCACCTTGAGATACATGAGCACTAACTAAAGGTGTGCATGCGTGTAGGGCAGCCCAGCAGCAATAATACTAAAATGGGACCCAAACACGGACTGCCCAGGTGATTTTGATATTGGTATAAAATGTTCTGTAGGCCAGGAAAACAGTGAATTTCTGGTCTGCTCTATTCTAGACCATAAATCAGCTTGAATCAGCAATTGAGGCCACACAAGCCTGAGGAGTTCGTTTTTAAGTAATTTCAAAATTTTAAGTCCACCCGCGCAATACAATTAAAATCGAAATCCTTCCCACAGTTCACTTTCTGTGCTGAAACGGAGTGGCACGTGCAAGCAGAAATCATCTGTTAGCAGGGCTGCCGATGGCTGTCTCTTTCGGGCGTTGCTTACCAGCAAGCTTTTGTAGTCTTCGCAAACGCCAGTGCCAATTTAAAATCGAAACAGATAAACGAAACGTAGGAATTGGTTATCCCACTGGCGAAGTCAGACCCGCGATCTTCAATATAACGGTGGTGCTATTGCCAATAAACCATGCTAGATAGCTAGCTATGCAAACCTCAGAAATTCAGATGTATAGTTTGTCTTGCTACATGTGAGACCAGAAGTGTAAACAAAGTGAAGTTTCAAAGCTGACTTCGTGTACTATTTCGCACAGTGCGGTGAATTAATAACACGAAAGTTCAGGTGCGCTGCTTGCTCAGTTTTGGAAATTATAATCAGAGTGAATTTGTTTACAAGTTAAAATGCACCAAAATTTGCTAACTGCAGACTAACTTCGCCAAAGCAATGAATTTAAATTCTTGGAATCATAAGTTGGTGGTTTCGTTCGTTGTAGCGCTATAGAACTGGTTCGATTTGCAGTTAAAGGACGGGCTGCAGCCATGTCTAAAAGTAAAGTCCAGTTTCGCAGTCCCCTAAGCGAACGGGAATTGTATCAAAATATTACTTTCGTAATTACTAAGTACAGTAGTTGCGATACACGTCTCAACAAATGTTGTTTTTAGTTGAAGCAGCTGTGCACAAAAAAACAATCCCTAGCGACGTGTACCATGCGGGCCCGTACAATTATGCGCTTTTGCACTATTTCGTGCTGTAGTGAGATCGATCGGAAACCCAGTAGCTAGAATTTGTGACATACTGGTCCTCAAAGTTCGGAAAGTTAGCTGCACACTTACGTAGTACTTGGACAGGGGAGGTTTCATTAAAGCTTCAACTTTCCAACGTCTTTAAGTTGTACTGGGGTTGGAAACGTTACCTCAAAATTTCAACCTCTCGGCTTCTCTGGTTCCCGAGTTAGCGGTTTGCCCGTCAAAAATTTTCACGGGACCATACATGAGAAATACGCAGACCTGAGGGATGAATCTGAAACCTTTGAGTTCCATGTAGACGAGGAATATAACCTCAAAATTTCAGCTTTCTAGCTTTTCTGTCTCCCAATTTAGCGAATTTTCCCGAACCACGCACCCCGAGGGGCTGAATTTGACAACCTTATGTTGCACATGTGCTGAGGAATTCCCTTAGAATTTCAACCTCCCAACTTTTCTGGTTCCCGAATTAGCCATTTTCCCGCCTAGAATTTTCACAGGGCTGTACGTGAGAACCGCGTACACCAAGGGACTGAAATTGATGACTTTAAGCTGTACATGTGCTGGGAACACTCCTTTAAAACATCAGCCTTCCAGCTTCCCTAGTCACCAAGTTAGCGATTTTCGCGCGAGGAATCCTCTCGGGGCCTTACGTGGGAACCAAGCACACCCGAAGACTGAATATGAAATCTTTCAGTTCTGTGTGGGCAGGGAACATAACCTTAAAATTTCAGCTTTCTAGCTCCTCTGGTTCCTGAGCTAGCGATTTTCCGCCAAAACTTTCACGCGCTCATATTCGGGACCCAAACGTGCATAGGAGTTGATACCGCTAATTCACTGGTAGAATTTTGGCGTCGGAGGTTGCTTGACTGCACAGTTGAAATACCTTGAGAGACTAATACACATACACACACACATACACACACACACATACATACACACACCGAGGACGCCACAATATGCGTTTTTGCATTTGTGCAAAAACGCATAATAAAACTGAACAGGCGAAGCCAATTTCAACAGATGAGGCGAAAAGTTTGTGAGAACAGACAGAATCTAGGCAAAGCAAAAGTATCTATAAGGTGTTAAAGTCTTAAGAAACAATGAGCTAAAGTATATGCGCTAAAATATCGAAATCTGCTGTTAGGCTTTCAGGTAATTTAACGTATTTTAACACAAAAGAGCACTAATGAAAGCCAGAACCGAGATGCCATCCATTTTTATTGGCTCTTGGATGTGCTAGAGGAAGCATACAACGCTCAAAAGATAGAAAACGAACTATTTGTAGAAATCCTTTCCATCTTGAATAGCTTGTTCGTCCATTCCAACGCGTGTGTTCTGAAGCGATTTCACGCAGCGTGCTTTGATATCGTTTGTTGACATTGCGTGCCTGTTGAATTAGACACAATAATTTACAAGCACCACTACTGACACTTGTTATAGAGCTGAGTCCGTCGCGGAAGGCTCGGAAGCGCTACAGAAACTATTAAATGAACTCGTGATCAATGCGTATAAAATTAGACTCTAGATCCACGTAGGAAAACGAAACGGACGAAAAACGCACGGTGTTCCCAGTTCGGCGTAAGACTCGAGAACCAACCGTTGCACCTGTGAACAGCTATACCTATTTGAGTGCAACAATAAACACGACGAGTTGCAATGTTTGAAGCTAAGAAAAGGAGTAGAACGAATAGCCTTCACCAACTCATACCTTTTAATACCAAGTGTGAAGGCGACACTTTTCAATTCTAATGTGTTACCAGTTCTGTTGCATGAAACTAAAACATAAAAAAAGAAAATACCACTCTGCTGAGGGGCAAAAATTAGCATTGATCCTGTGAGCTGTGAAACCACTCATGGTAAACGGCAGCAAATTGCAGAATTTTCCCAGTGAAATACTGCAGTTTCAGTCTGGTGTGAATGATATTATCGAAAGCGTGCATGATAGGAAAAAAAATTAGGCTAGTCTTATAAAAGGAATGAGTAACGTCAGATGGACAAAACGGATTTTTGAGTTGTGTATCAAGGAAAAGCTAACAGTGCAGTGAAAAAATTCATTGGATAGCAGTGTAGAGATATATACATATGAGCTGCACCAGTGGCTGAAGAAAAGCGAGCGGAAGCAAATTCTAAAAGCAATCGAAGTATCATTAGACTGAAATTTAATAAACTGTTAGCTGTAAACATGAAATGGGAACACTATTACTCTAAGCTCTTTGCCCTGAATTGCACATATCAACGCTTCAAAATCCACTCAACCTGCCGTTTGTTCCTGAGAGTGTCATCACAGAAACGTGACAGCTACCGGTTTTCAGAAAAGCGCACGACGTGTCCTTCCTTCGGACTTTCTCACGTAATTATGACAATGTTTACTACACTCTGCCCATCTGTCGAATCCTATGTTTCAGAAACACTCACGAAAGGATATTTTAAGTACTTTTCGCTGCATCATTCTCCCCGTAATAGTCTTTGTTCGGTCTTTCGCATCCGTCAGTGATCACGTTTAGCATCCGCACATGTTTGTTTCCAAAACGAATAGTGAACATGCGTACACGGAGTTTCTTCTTTGACATTTCCACCGTAATCCGTATGCTCTAACCGCAAGATCCTCAAAATGTAGCGCCCGATTCAGGATTATGTCGCACATTCATATCTTGGCCCGAGTAACCGAAAAAGCTGTCGACTTCTTTCAACCTAACTTCGGTTTTATGCATGCCAGCAGTTTCGATTTTGATGCACCGAAATGTTATAGAATGCGAAACACGAAGTATTTCGAACTTCTGCAGCATTTCGCTTATTTTACGTGCATTTTCGCACTGAGAGTTGTGTTGTCCAAAACTAATTCAGCTCTGCCATTTAGTCAAAGCGTATCTCTACTACAGCTTGCTAATTACCAACTGGAGGCAGGTTGTGAAAAATTCTACCGGTAATAGAAAAGATCATCTTACGCCCATCTAGATTAGCGATTAGTGAATGGACTGAAGTAATGAAAAATATCATATAAATTGGTGAGGCAGTTTTTGCTACCAATCTCTTCTACAAAAGCACGTAACAATGCATATAGTGCGAAGATACTAACTGCTTTTCTAAACGACAAATTAGACAGCAGGACAGAGCCGACACTCCCTTACGCGCTCCAACAATTACTTAGGACGGAAATTTGGTCGGTGATACTGCGACTGCTTCGAAATCTAGCCTGTTCCCTCGGCTGCTGTTCGCCGAAAAGCCCTGCTAACCTAGTACCAGTAATAATGTCTGAGAACAAAAGAACTATCAAAGTTATTCAGCACTCAAAGCAACGGTATTTCAAAACGAAGCCAGTTTGTAGTTCAGTACTGTACGAAAAGCGGTAGAAATGATCCGAAGCGAGGTTTCAGTCTCTCGTGCTTCCTAATCTACAGTAGCTTAATATATATATTTGTTAAACTG